GTGAACTCCCGTCTGCCTCCTTTCAGGGAGGTAAGCGCCGCGCAGTTGACAGCTCTGTCGGGGACGGGTCCACTGCGGGAGGGAGTGCAGGAGGGGGATCGTCGCTCGAGGATGCCCGTCGCCTTCTCATCCTTGGGTTCCAGGATCGGTTGATGGCCACCGCTCTCGAGAGGGTTGCGAAGGACATTATCTCTAAGTGTGCGACCGTGCAGGCAGCAAGTCTCATTCGGATTCGGGCCTATGATCTCCAGAAGAAAGTTACCTTGGATGCCCCTACCCCGGCCATGGCTTCGGACTTCCAGGTGCATTTCAGGAAGCTGAGTGAGCTACAGCATGGTTAACCCACGTAATCAACAGGATGTTTGGCCCCTTCGTGTGCGTCGTAACTTGTCTCCTCAACATCGGCTTCTCTTCTTCAAGATGGGGAAAGTACGGGGTGCGGTTCAGGAAGAGCTCTCAAAGGTTGGTTTGCAGGCCAATTCTAATGGGATCGGTGGTGACGTCTTCGGCCTTCGCTCGCGGGAAGGCCCTGTTCCTCTCTTTCGCCTCGCCTGCTGCCTCCAGAACTCTGATGTGATCCACCTTCGCCCTGACGATGCAGGTCTTAGCGCTCTTGGACTGAACGCTCCTGAGATCCGTGAGAAATTCGTGGCTGCGTTTGCCGCTGAGCCCACGCGTCCTTTTTGAAGATGAATCGGATGGGATAGGCCGCCCTGGGGACCAAATGTTTCCGTCCCCCCCAGGGACCTTTCTGATTTTTTTGGCGGGAGAAAGGAAGATCGAGTTTGATATATCCTCCAGTTTTTCTGCCAGTAGCTCGAGCAGTTCCGACTCCGACTCGAGCTCTTCTTCGCCCAGTGGGGGTCTGCCCGCTGATACGTCGCTCTTTCCCCTCCCCTTCCTGCTCTCTGTCTCTGCTCACTTGGAACTCAAGGGGGCTCTTCGCTTCCATTTACCACTCCTCTCTTCGGGCCACGCGACGGTGCAAGCAGCTCCTGGGATTGTCTCGGCGTTCCAGTATTCTGTGTGTTCAAGAGACCCATGGCACGGCTGGCGATGCAGCGGCGCTCCAGTCGGATCTGCAAGGTTGGTCGATTGGATTCTCAGGACATACCTCGGACATTGCTGGTGGTGTTATCACGCTGGTCTCTCCTGCTCTCCGCTCTTTCTTCACGGACATTCGGCGCTGCAGTATTGATGAGGGTCGTATCCTGGTCTCTAAATGCCACGGCCGACGGGGTGCTCTCTGGGTTCTGAACGTTCACCTGCCAACCTCGGGGGGACCTATGTGGGCGTTTCGGCGGTCTCTGAGGCTTATTCGGGATGCTTTGGGGACTCCTGATGCACTGGTTATGATTGGTGGGGGCTTCAATTTTGCTCTGGAGGAGGACGGCCGTCAGTGTGGGGATGGGTCGGGGTGGAGGCCTGGGGGTCGTTATCGGCATGATACGTTCCATTCGTTCTTCCCACGGTGGACTGAGGTCTACCAGCCTGACCCGACCCGTCGGGAGATTGTCAGTGGTGAAATCTGCCATGTGAGCCTTCTTGACCGTCTTTATATCGCCTCTCCCACTGCCGTGCTCTCTGATCTCTCTATCACGTGCTCGGTTATTGGCAAAGCCACGGCCACTCAGAATGTCTCTGACCATATTCCAGTCTTGGCTACGTTTCGGAGATACCAGCCATCTGCGAATCCGTCTATACCTTCCTGGGTCGGGAAACACCCTCGGCTTCGCATTGAGCTTGAAATTCTTCTGAGTGAATTGGACCGGACTGCGCCCATTAACGATCAGATTGCCCTGGTCAAGAGGTCTATGTTTGAGGCTTGCAAGCGGACACGTGACTTCCTCTCCCATCAAGTCGCTCGGGCTGCAGATGAGGAGATTCACTTTCCTTTGGCTGCGTTGAGGGGTCTACGTGCAAGGCGTGCACAGCGTGTCTCTTCTGCCATCTCTTGCTACCCCCACCTGTCCCGCTTCTTCGACCTCGGCCCTCTCGCCTGTCGTAATCTTCCTGCGCTGCGTGATCGCATCCAGCTGCTTCAGAACCTTCGGTTGACTGAGCTTGATCAGGAAGCCGACAAAGAGGCAGATTCGGAGATTAGGGCTCGGCTGCGTTCTAGGTTGCAAAGGCGTCGTGAGCTCTGGAGGCCTCTTCAGAAACGGATCTCTCTTGGGACTATCCTGGGCCCTGGTGGCGCCCCGTGCAGCACAATTGGTGAGGCGGGGGAGGAGCTGGCTCGGCACTGGGAAACTGTCTTTGGTGAGTTCGGTTGCGACACGTCTCTCTGGCCAGATCTTGAAGCCCACATCTCCCCTGTCCATTCCCTTCCTGATGATCAGTGGCGTCTTGACTTTGAGGACTTTGAGAAATTGGTTAGGGGGCGACATGACTCGATGCCAGGGCCAGATGGGATTGTCTACTCGTGCTGGAAGTCCCCTCTCCCGATTGCGGTCCTGTATGACCTCTACTGCCACCTGTTTGACAATCGTGCCAGCGACATGCCTTCATCTATGCGGGAAATGCTCCTTGTCTTCTTAGCCAAGGGTGAGACTCCGGCGGGCCTTACTGCCTGTCCCTCTCGTGCTCCTGATGCCTGCCGCCCTCTTGCTATGTCCAATACTGATTGTAATATAATGTCTGTGGCGTTTGCCTCCCAACTGGAGAAGGAAGCCCGCGAAAGTGTTCACATGGTTCAGGCCTGTATCCGAGGGCATTCCATGACTGACCAGATTCTTGAAGCTGAGGTTTGGGGAGTTCAGCGGTGCATGTTGGGGATGGACCTATCTTGCATGTTTCTGACCGACTTTGCTGCTGCGTTTCCGAGCATTGCGATTTCCTGGCTTCTTCGGGTGCTGGTCCTGATGCAAGTTCATCCTGGAGTGGTGGGTTTCTTTGAGGCGCTGTATTCTGATAGTCTTGGGACTGTCTGCTTTGGAGGGAAGCGTCATAGGGCGATCAGACTTTTACGGGGTGTACTCCAAGGGGGCCCGTCTAGTATGCTGCTCTTCGCTCTCGCTCTCGATCCTTGCATACGTTGGCTCTGCAGTCGTCTCCCGCGGCAAATCCTGGCGCATGCTGGTGACTTGTGGTTCGGGCTTCGTGATGTGAGCGTGGAACTACCGATTCTTCTCCCGTTGCTTCAGCGTCTGCATCCTGGGATCGGGCTCGCACTGAACCTTAAGAAATGTGTCCTGGTTCACTGTGGCCTGAGCCTCTCTCCGCGGACGACTCGGCTAATTCGCAGGTTACTCGCTAGTCTTGGGAATGGGGCCGATGCTATTGGCTTGGTTCGGCATGCTCGGTATCTGGGGATTCAGGTCGGTCCTGAAGGTTGGCGGCACGCCTGGAACACTGCCTTGCAGAAGTATCATCAGTGTTGCATCGAGATTCGGAGGCTTCGGGTTGGGCTCGCTATGACCATTAGGACGTATGTGATCTTTGCCGTCTCGGTACTCAGGTTCGTGATGCAGTTCTATCCCCCTTCGTCTGCTGTCTTGAAATGTGAAGGGAACATGCAACAGAAGCTCATGGCGGGTCAGAGGTTTGCCTTCAACAGACTGATGTGTACCAGGATGTGCGACCTCGGCCTATCGTTGGAGTTCCCTGATCTGGCGCAGATCGGCATTGCGACACAGGTTCGTCTTGCCCACAACAGTGCTGCATTCCCGAAGATCCGTGATCTGATTCTTGGTCTTTCCCAGCAAGACGAATTTCACCCTGCTCGGATGCGGCGCCCGCGGTGGCAGCACGCGTTCTGTCGGTCTCCCATTGGCACGTGGAATGGGCACATCCATCTGTGCACTGGCTTCCTTCAGGCTTCGGGGTTTCAAAAGAAGCTCACGCGAATCCTTCGGGCCCGTGCTCCTCCGATCTCTCTTATCCGCTGCCTCCACGGCCGGGTGGTCCGATGGGTCCCTGGGGTCTCTGTCGCCCAGGTCTCGGCTGCTGTTCAGGTTGTCCGCAAGGTATGCAAGGAAAGTTCTGTCTACCTGGGACTCGCTGTCTTGCGTGTCCTGGCGAGGGGTGTCTGCGCCAGTGCCAGATTTCATCGTGGGCCTGAAGGATGCTGCTGGAACTGTGGAGCCCCTGGGGACAATGGCTCAATGGAGCACTATGCCGTATGTCCTGAATTTCGACGTCTGAGTTTAGCTCTCGCCCCCTGCCTCCAGCTTTTTTTTTAGCGAAGAGTCCTGGTTCCGTCGTTTAACTTTAATCGCCCCCCCCCCGTTCTTTGAGCAGCGTTTAATTTGTGCGAGTCTTCTGGGCGGATTCCTTTTCGTCCAAGCCAGTTTTCGTGAGGGGGCCAGGCAGCCGCCGAAGGATCTTCTCAAAGGCCGCATTCGCTTGCACACCCTGCGGCATCCGAAGGTTGCCCGTGCCTGGTCTGCGTCTTCCTCTTAGCTGTCTCATATAACCTTTGCCCCCCTGGGGCCAGCGGCTCACCGCCCCTCTCGGGGCCAGCGGAGTCGCATGCTGTACCTGCACCCCTCTGCCGTCTCGGTGCCGCTCTCTTCATCGTGCCCCTCTGGGGGCAGCGGACTTTGCATCGCTCTCTGCTGAAGCCCCTGTTGGGGTTCCCCGAAAGCCGCTATCTGTGCTTCTCTCGGGGTCCTACGTTCGACCCGATGTTCCCCATTCAGTGCTTCTGTCGGCGTCCATTGGCTGTGGCAAGTGGCATGCCTTGCTTCAGCTGCATTGGCCGCCGATAACTCTTCATTATTTTTGTTGCCGCCAGGTTCCCGATGAAGTACCGCAAGGCCCCGCGTGCTCTCTTGAGAGAGATTTTGGTTGGGCAGGGCCCGTTTTCCTTGATCGTCGCCTGGCCACGGGCTTAGCTTCTGATTGACCCTCCCCCTCTCTCAGGGTATGCACTCTGTGGGCTTTCATTTTTTTTGTTGTTGCATTTGTTTTGGTGTGTTGTTTTCCATTTTCTGTTATCTCTTACTTTAAGGCGCCCAACCTCTGAGTCGGTTCGGCTTCGAATGCGCCCGTTGCCA